ATTCATTATTTATAATATAAAAACAATATAATTTTATCTACATTTTTCTTATACCATAAAAGTTTATATTATAATCGCAACTAAACAATAAAACTTGCAACTAAATAATAAATCTATTCTATATAAAAGATTAACAATATCTAAATACATAATTTTCAATATTTATTTATTATAAATTACTTATCTCAAAATTTTATACAATACACAAAATTTTTTTCATCTTTTATGTAACATAAAATTGGCAAAAAGGTACCCATTTGCCCTTTAACTTTTCAAATTTGAGGCATTTTACCCCGCATATTATAATATATGATTTTTTGCCCTTAATGTTTTTGAATATATGATTTTTTATTTTTCATATTTTTGAGTTTAGGGAAATAAAGCAAAATTTAACGACAGAAAGGTCACATGCGACACCTGCATCGTTAATCTCTGTCATCTATTGACGTGTTCATGCAAACTCAGAATTTGTTACACATTGGCAAGTCCAACTTGCGCCGAGTTGAAATTCTACCCCAACAATTTAGTTTTTTTTTTTTTTTTTCATTCCTCACTTTTCTCTTCCTTTCTTCAACTTCTGCAAATCTGTAACATCTCAACCAATCTATTCACCTCAATCAATCTCTACATTCTGAGTTCTTTATTATCATCAAACAACAAAACCCACAGAAAACCAATAAAAAAAGCCAAAACCCATTGGGTTCTTCATCATCATAAAAAAAAAAAAAAAACCCCACAGAAAACAAAAAGAAAAAAAAGGAAAATTTTTGCCACTAGGTTATATCGAACCCAGTCGTGGGTTCCATGGAACCCAACGCTTGGGTTCCCTGAAGCCCACGTGGAGGTCGATGGAACCTAAGCTTGGTTTCCATCGAACCCCCAACGCTGGGTTCCATGGAACCCAACACTTAAATTCCTTGAAACCCACGCAGGGTTCCATTCAACCTAGGCCTGGGTTCGATGGTACCCCAGCGCTGGGTTCCATCGAACTTGTGCCTGGGTTCGTTGGAACCCAACGCTAGGGGTTCTACCAACCCAGGCCCAGGTTCCTAGAACCCCAGCACTGGGGTTCCAAGAGCCCACTCTTGGGTTCCGGCGTGGGTTCCATGGAGGGCTTCTCTTTGTTGATGAATTCTGTTGGGTTCCAAGGGAGAGAGAAAGGAAAGGAGAAGGAAAAACAAAAAAAGGAAAGAATTTTTTTTTCATATTATTATTTTTTTATGTTATTATCATAAAGTCCGAGCTGGACTTGCCAACATGTAAAAAAATCTGAGTTGGCATTAACACATCAAGGTATAACAGAGATTAACATGCACATGTCGCACGTGATCTTTTACCGTTAAATTTTACCTTGTTTCCCTAAACTCAAAAATATGAAGGATAAAAGATCATATATTGTAATATGAGGGGTAAAATGCCTCAAATTCAAAAAGTTAAAGGGCAAATGGGTACCTTTTGCCCATAAAATCTAACAAACTATTTTTATAATTAAATAATGAAATAATTCTATCTAATTTTCTACACAATCTATATTTTTTTATATAATGCCAAAATATATTTTTACAATTAATATTAAAAAATAATCATCTAGCTAAAACACAAATTAAACATAAATTCATGAGATATCAGTTATCAAAAACAAAATTTAAAGATTTAACAACATTCTAATCTATCATTTTAACAATTAAATACAACTTTTATTTTCAGACTTTACTTAAAAACACAGAATAATTAAAAAATTTTGAAATAAAAAGAAAAAAATTCAGAAAACTCACTTATAGGGTAGATTAGAGACCAATATACTTGCAAATGCTCAGATCTAGTGATAAACATAGCAGATCTGCAAAAAAAAAATTTTTGGGTTTTTGAAAAAATTTTTTTTTTGTTAGGTTGTAAAAAAAAAAAAACACCAACAAGATCGTCGACTATTAACCGATGGGAAAACATTATTTACCTTTGTGGTTGGCCAGAGATTGGAGGAGGAGAAGCTTGCAGCGTAGAGGAAGAAAAAAGGAAGAAAAAACAGAGGAAAATCACAGATGCATTGTAGAAGGGGAGGGGACGAGTGCCGAAAGGTTGAAGGCTGTAAGGTACCTTATACGGACCAATATCGGTCCATATAAATTTGACAATGGACCCCAACGTCTCATCGGTTCAGGGAATCTCTAACGCCTATTTTCAGACCGATTTTGGTTTGTACATTACAAAAACTCAGACCAATAACGGTCCGTATATTTAATGAATCTCGACGCTTTGCTAATGATATATACCGACCGATTTTGGTTCATATATCTTTATTTAAATAATATTTTATTCTTAATTTTTGTTATTTAATATTTATTTCTTACTAAAAAATATTCGGACCATATTCAGTCTGAATATTTATGGATATTCAAACTAAAACCGATTTGAATATTAAATGAACATGGCATTTTCTGAGTTATATATATGGACCAATTATGGTCTGTATATATTCGTTTAATTAATACTTTATTCTTAATTTTTTTATTTAATATTTATTTTTACTAAAAAAATATTCAGACCATATTTGGTTTGAATATTATTGGCGCGTTGCACTGTTAATTCCTACCATAAATATACGAACCAAAACCGGTCTGAATATTTTGATTAATGGATTTGGTTCCACCCTAATATATTTGGACCGATATTAGTTTGAATATATATTTATATGGACCGATATGATTCGGTCCGTAAATGATCGGTTTGAATTAATCATTTTTCTAGTAGTGAGAGCAAGACTTTTATTTATTTATTTATTTTATTTTGTTGTTTGGGTATATATATAGAGTAGAAAGTAGAGGTTTGGGGGGTTGGTTTTCAAGTTTGTTTTGGTGTTTTTTTCTCTCCTCTAGGTTATGGTTCTTCTCTAGGTTTCATTTTCTTCTTGTCACTATGGAATAAATAAAAAAAAGAGAGAGACAGAAGAGAGGAGTCCAAAAGAGGGGATTTGATTTTTCTTTGGTTTTCCTTGGTTTTGAAGCTTGAGGTATTGCTGGAGGCGACAGTAAGAAAAAGAAAATCACTGAACTTCCAGAGCTCACCGAAGGAGATTAAACATTTTCTGGATATTTGCCTTAGGTATTTTCCTACAACAAAGGAGTCCTTTTGGGGAGGCAGTGAGGGGAATGATCTGGGCTTGATCTCGTGGGTTGGATTCCCTAGATCGGACTCCGATCTGTTACCCAAAAAGCTCCACCATGCTTGTTTCTTTGTCTTCCTATTTCTATGATCTGCTTTTATGATGTTTACGTTTGAATGTATTTACTGAAAATCAATGAAAAATCAAAAAAAAATGTCTAGTTTATTTTTCTGATGAATATTGTTTATCTTTTTGTTGGAAGTGAAACACAATTGAAATGAACCCTAAATTTCATTTTTGTTGCTGTCTAGATTCTATTTCTGTCTTACTTGATTTGTTTGTTGGCATATTTTGGTGAATGGTTATGTTTTTGGGTTGGGTCAACCCGACCCGATCCAATAGAAAAAAATAATAATAATAAAAAGGTTAAAAGGTAAAATATATATATATTTTACTAATTAATTAGGTTAATTAGTTTAATTTATGATTAATAAAGTTAATTAATTTTAATTAAAATAAATTAATCATATTTATTGAATTTAGTTTGAGATAATTAGATTTATTTGATTATCTCAATTAATGATTAATAAATATGATTAATTACTTTTAATTAATTTTAATGAATATTTAATTAATTATTCAATTAAATTAATTATCTTAATTAATTAATTTCAATCCTCAATTTTCTTAATTTGGATCAAAGTCAAAGTTATCTTTTATTTTGTCTCAATTTCATCAAAAACTTTCATGATTAGACAATTTAGTCCATGGGTCAGCTCTCTTCAAATCAGTCCTCTATGCTTTGAACTTAACCAAATTAGTCCCTCATGTTTCAAATTTAATCAAATTAGTCCCTTTAATTTTTATTTGTGCTTGTGGTGTATATATGTCTTTGATTTCATCCAATTCAGTCCAAAAATTTTAAAAATGTTTCAATTTGGTTTATCCTTTTTTTTAAGTTTGCCTATTAAGACTCAAACATAAACATAATGAATAAGTTGAATTAAAACCCCCCCAATGTTAAAGTATGCAACCGTGTTTAGACGGAGGATTGTGAGGTGCGCATATGCCCTTCCTCACTCCTAACTGAACCCTCGAACCCCGATCTCTGCTCAGACCTGTTTTAGGTGACTTGTCCCACCTTATACTTTGGACGAGTGGCGACTCCCTTTTCTTTTATATTTTTCACACTTAATAATGAACATAATTTTTCATTATTTTGAAATCTTAAGTGATCGTCAACAAATTGGTCACTCCATTAGGGACCGAAACTAGAATCTTTGGTTTCCATATTATGGATTCATAAGGGTCGAGCTAATACTTTAACTTTTGGGAAATTTTTAGCTTTTGATTTTCTTTGTTTGTTGAGTCTTTGTCATTTGTTGCATGTGCTTCTTGCTTGTTCTTTGTTTCTTGTTTGCTTGTTGTTTTGGTGGTTGCTTTACTATTTTGCTTTTGAGTAGTTATTTGGCTACATCTTGGCATGCATCATATCTTGCTCACATGTTCATGCATCATATCATCTCACATGCTCATCCATCATTGATGTTATATGCTTATTCATCATTCATCATGCTTACATGCTTGTTTGCTTGTGTGTGGATATACTCACCTTTTACATTTGGCTATGGAGTACCTAGTGAGTTTCTTCCCTCTTGTGTGATTATTTATATCTTGTTGCATGCTAAGTGTTGGTTGCTTTGTGTTACTAACCTTTTGCATTTGGCACGGGAGTACTAGGTGAGTCCCTTCCTTCTGTCTAAGTAGGTTTGTTTGTGGATGATATATTTGTTGAGTGTTTTACATGTTTTATTTGCTTGTTTGCTTTATCTGCTTACTATGGGATATATGTTGCTATTTTTTTGGTTGCTATTTGTGATTGCCATTGTGCAGGTTATCAGAGTGTTAGGCCCCTTGCACACACTCACTCTCATTTTGCATTAGGTTTGTGTCTAAGGTGAACCCGACCTCTAGTCTGGAATCCTTATGAATCTGGCTTGGAAGAGCAATTCTTTTCGCTTTAAGGAGTAAGATCGTTTCCATTGGTTAATACAACACATGATGATGTAATATCAGCCTATGTATTAGCATTTGAAAATATCTCCCATTGATTCTAAAAAAATAAATGGTTGAGAAGGCCTAATGCCCTTTAGGAAACCATCTAGTGAACTTGAGGAGAAACCACCCGTAGGATTCGTTAGCCTAGAAAGCCACCAGTGAGGCTAGGATTCCCGTGTCTAGGTACACAAGGGGACATTTGATATCTCACCTTATTTTTCGCACTTACAGCTATTCATTGAGTCAACCATGTCGATTGTCATGATATCCACGACATACATTCATTTCATATACTTTGCATCTTCACTTGTAACCCCATATATTATTAAAAAAAAAAAAATCATAATTGTTTTACATGTCATTTGCCCATCCTATTCATTTCACATTAAATCTTCCATTTTATCATCAACCTTTCACATGTCATACGTTCATTATATTGCATTTTCCATCTCATGCATTGCAAAACATGTTTTCATGTTCATCTCATGTGACATTCTCCCTTCCATTCATTTTACATTTCACTTTTCATCTCATATTTCACAAAAATTTACAAAAAAAATGAAAATCTCATCTATGTTTAGTTCACATTACATTTTCCATCCCATTTTACATTATAGTCCATATTCAACCTTACATCACATCTTCCATCTCACATCAAATTGACATTCATCTCATGCTCACTTTCTCTTTTGAATAAAGTTAAATTTGGTCCTCATATTTTCTTGTTTTTGAATTAAGTCCTTCAAGTCATGATTTGCTATAAAAATTGTCCAAACTCTCGTTCAAAGAAATTTTCACCATCTGACATTTTCTACACGAAACTCACACTTGCATGTTTCAAACTTTTTGGCCTTACCTAATTAAATCCAAAGCATTTCACATTTTGTTAAAAAAAAAAAAAGAATCATTTTTTTTCACACTCCATGACATTTGCTCTTTTCACCAAAAAGGACTAAATTAAACTTCATCAAATTATGTAGACCAAATTTACATTGTACTACAAAACTTTCATCATCCTTGCATGTTCATTAGTTCATAGAAAAAAAAAAACTTAGATCCAAATTTTGTTTCTTCAAGCATAAAAAAAAAAAA